GGGGAGAAGGGTGCAACAATGAATGAATGGAATTCCAAAATCTCTGTAGATGTTCATTGAAATGAAAAATAAACAACCTAAATTTTTTTAAAAAAAACAAAACTTAAACCAATGTCACAAAACAATCTGTATTGTAAAACATAAGAGTTTTAATGACATTAATAATTATAATTGATGTTATAAATAAAAAAAGAAGTATTACAGCAAGGAAACCTCATGAATCTCAGTTCTCCGTAACAGGGTATTGCTATGGGTCAGATTCAACGGGGTGGGGGCAGTTTTTATGGTCATTCAAAGTCTGAACTTTATTGTACTTAGGAGAGAAACAATGTACTTTAGTTACTAGTAGACAGCTTTGGGATGTACTGACTCAAACCTAGTTCTAAATAGTATTGACAGCTTTAAATTAAATATCTAAAGAAAAATTCTCAATTATCTTTACTTTGATGTTATTTTCTTTCACATTTCTTAGTTTACAAAAAGATAAAATGCAGGGAGCTCTGGTGGTCTAGTGGGAAGAACTGCACTGCAATCCCAGAGGTACACGGTTTGAGTTCACCAGATGCTCTGCTGGAGAAGGAGGAGCAATCTCCTCCTGTACCAGTCAGATCTGATTTCATGGTACACACACACATACCCCCACAAAAAAAAATGAATTTTTTAAGAAAGTTAAATATATTACAGCTTATACCTCCACCCTCTGCTAAGTATAAGACTAATTTTATACTGGTTCTCATAGACAGACTCCATACAAATCTCTTAAGAGTACATCAATACAAAATACTATTATAATTCTTCAATTTAAGTTCTAATATATTAACAGTAATATATTCTAGAGTGAAGCCTAACATTCTACTCTGATGGTCTAGTTTCTAGTTCTTATGCTCAATTTAGTTTTAAATTTCTTATTTGTTCTTGCTACAAAGTTTATACAGTTTAAATATTTTATCTATTTGTTTCTGAGAAGTTTAAGTAGTACTTACCATTTGTGACAGAATTCCCATTTTCAGTAGTCATACAACTAGATAAGGAGTTAGATAACTGAATTCCATGGTTATTTGCATTTTTGTCTTGAGTTTCTGATGCATTTTCTGATATACTAGAATCATTTCGGCTAGTTAAGTTCATGTTCATTTCAAAACCTAAAAGAAATTTCAGAAGACATTATGTTTTTTAAAATTAAATTGCACTGAGTCAATTAAATATCTATACAAAGAAAATGACAAAATTTATCAATTCAAACATGAATTAAAGCTGAAATTTTAAATTATGAACACTCTTTAATAAGAATTATGTCCTGTAAAATAAAATTGTGTTGCATAAAATTTTGCCACAGCTATGCTAAATATACTAGAAAATGTTAAATGGTGATGATAATTAATTTTGTTTCTGAATTTTGCATATATTTATAGAGAATTTATATCATTGGTTAGATAACTTATCATTATACTAATCGTCATCCGGAGACTGTTTTCTAAAAGAATAATGACAATGAGCTCATGTGTAATAAATTTTCTGAATTATTATTATTATTATTAAAATTACTTGTTTTGATGTACCAAAGGATCTGAACAAACTCATAACTGACACTCCAGCAGGTTTTTAGAGTCAATAAATTGAACAGAAGGAGATTGTCCATTTTCTTCCATGGAGTATCTGTTGGATATGAACTGCCTGTATTCGTAGCACAATTCCTTACAAGTAGACCATTGTTCTGTTGTTAGATTCCATCAAGTAGAATGGCATCTCTCTACTCATAATGACTCTATGAACAATAGACTGGAACCCTGTCCCAACCTGTACCATCCTCATCAACACTTGAACCCTTTGCCATTTTCATTGTGTCTATCCTTCTCATTGAGGGTCTTTCTCTCTCTCGCCAACCCTTCTTTTTTCCAAGCATGATGTACCTCTCCAAGAAATACCTGCTAGCAAAATGCCTAAAGTATTAGAGATAAAGCTTTATCATCTTTACCTCCAAGAAGTACTATTGCTGCACCTATTCCAAGCTTATCTGCTCGTTCATTTGGCAGTCAGTTCTTTTAACTATTCAGTACTCTTCCTCAACACCACAACTCAAAGACATCAATTCTTCTAATATTCTTATTTACTGTCTAGCTTTCAGATCCATAGCAAGTGATTGAAAAGATCATGGCTTGAATCTAGCACATTTTTAGGACCTTCATTACTCTTCATGTCTTTGGAGACATCACTGCCAGCATATTTGCTCAACGCAGTATGTCTACTGATTTCCTGACTGCTGGTGCCAAGAGTGTTGACTGTGGAGCCGAGCAAACTGAAGTTGTTGAAGTGTCAATCCTTTTCGCATCTATCATAATGCTATCTATAGGTGTGGTTGTGAGAATAAGTGACATAGCACAAGAAAAGTGATGTTGCCTTTTGGCCCAGCGGTGATGATATTTTTTCAGATGAAATCTGTATTGAAGGCTGTAGTCCTTGATCTTTTGCAGCAAATGTTTCAAGTCTTCTTTACTTTGAGCCAATAAGGCTGTGTCATCTGCATTATGATGTCATATTTCTCTTCATAGAGTCAAGCTTTATGAATGATTTGCTCAGCATACAGACAGAATAAATAAGGAGAAAGGATACATCCCTGGCACACACTCTTCCTGATTTTAAACCATGCAGTGTTCCCATTTTCCATATGAACACAATTAAGTATTTTGGGATTCCCATTCCTCTCCATTTTAGTCTTAGTTTGATATAATCCACCGCCAAGTGCCTTTGTATCACTAAAAAATCACAATAGGCTTTCAGGTAGGATCCATCTGACATCATCAGTGTTATCACCAGGTCACGATGTTGTTGTTGTTGTTGTTATATACCATCAAGTTGAAACCTAGCTGACCTCTAGTAAATTTTCAAAGCCAGTAAAATGTAGGCCATAGATCTAGACAAATCTTAGAGCATTGGAACAAAGCAATACAAATATTATAAATTTGTTACCACATTTATAAGTCAATTTGTGGTACAGTGTTTGACTGACAACTGAGAAGTCAGCAATCTGAACTCACTAGTCTTTTCAGAGTGGAAAAAATGTAGCAGTCTGCTCCCATAAAGATGTCTAGCCTGGGAAACTTTAATCTGTCCCATAAAGTTGTTATGAGTTAACTGATGGCACATCAAAATTGGTTATTTAAAAACATTGAAGTTCAAACAACAAATGCTGGTGAGGTTGTGGGATGATTAGAATTCTTACTCATTGCTGATAGAAATGTAAAATGGTATAGCCACAATGGAAAGCTGTCTGACACTTTCTCAAAAAGCTGAAAATAGAAATACCATTTAACCTAGCAATTCTACTGCTGGGAATATACCCTAAAGAAACCAGAGCCACAACTCGAAGAGATGTGTCATACTCATGTTTGTTGCTGAATTATTCACAATAGCAAAGAGATGGAAGCAATCCAAGTGCCCATCAACAAATGAATTGATAGAAAATCTATGGCACAATCACACAATAGAATAGTATGTGGCATTGAAAAACAATGAACTTGTATAACACTACATAACTTGGAAGAGGAGCATCAGGACTTTATGCTCAGTGAAGTACCTCAGTCACAAAAAAGACCAATACTGTATAACACGGCTGCTTTAACATAGGTCAGACATGGGGGGGGGGTGATGCAGAGAGAGTGGAAAAGAGTAGATAAATAATGAACACTGCATTGGAACAGATGAGGGGAACTAACTGAAAAGAATAGATGATTAGGCATTATACGTATTACAACAATCTGAAACAAGGGGTGCCTTGTGAGGTGGGTTACGGGAGGAGAAGGGTAAGAAACCATGTAACAATGAAAAAAATAATATGAAAAAATTAAAAACAATGAAGTTCAAAATCCTCCTTCTGTATTTTGTCCCTAACAAACTTTCTTAGCACTAAATGCATGCTCTGTATTAAGTGCTCTCAGATAAATGTACACAAATAGAAGACATTGCCCAGGTTAAAATGAAGGGCCACCCAGGGTCTTAAGAAAACAATTACATACGTAGTGTTGGACTGCTAATCAAACGGTTAATGACAGAGCCTATCAGACACTCCAAGGGGCAAAAAGGAGGCAGTCTGCTTCTGTAATGACTTATAGTCAGAAGCTTAATGGAGGGCTCACCATAAATTAAAAAAGACTCTATGGCAGTGGATATTTGGCTTGGTTTTAGAAGTGTTAATACCTGAAATACAGCAAGTGCTAGGGCTTTGGGATTATGTCTCAGTTAATTTCATTTATACAATTATTATGTTATCTTCAGGCAAGTTTACTGATTTATCAGAGCTAGCCATGAAATCCTAACTACCCACCACAGAGCCAGGCTTGTCCTCCTCCTCCTCCTCTACTTGGCTTGCTACCTTAGCCCATGTCCCTTTTCAGCCTGGGCAAGCTCATCTGAGCTCAGCGGCTATTTCCCAGGAACCACATAAAAGCTCTAAACTAATTGCAGATTTTTTTGGGTCCAACATCAGGGATATGTAAGTTGTTTCTTTTCTGTGTCTGTCAATATTTAGTAGATTCTGACTGTGTTTGAAGTCGGGCCTTTCTGAAGTTTTCGGTTAACGAATCATTCAAAAGGATAATAAGCATAACTAGCAGTATTATACTTGATGTATGGTCAAACAAAGCATTTTATCACACATGATTCCAAAAGCCAATATTCTACTAAGAAGAGGCATTAACTTTATTTTGCTGAAAAGGAAATTAAGGTTACTCAGGGTCATGCAGCTGCAAAGAAGGAAAAGAAAACATTAACATATAGTCTGATTATGAAAGGTTTTGAGGATTATGTGGTGTTTTTTTCTCCTCCTGGTGGTTTTGTTTTTCCAGAAGACAAAACAGATTTTTCAAGGGTTGAAGTCTTACCTGAAATGCTGTTCTCAAAAAGAAAGAAGGCAAGAGAGAGAAACAAACAAAAAAAAGACCAAAAAAAAAAACCAACCAAAAAAACAAGGAAGGAAGAAAAAGAACGCTTGCCTTTCAAGGCCGTTCTTGATTTAATTCTGCATAACTCTCCTCCTTGTCTTTTGAAACATATACTCAAATAGCACACTAACCAGTGGACATTTATATAAATCGTCTATACTGGTTCATGTTTAACTGCTTCAGTATTAACACTTTGTCTTCCCAAAATATCCTCTTCCCTCTATTAACCGCCAACTTCCTACTCACTAGCGGGGATCTTGTGCACTTCACCTTCTTAGTGGCATCTCATTAACAAATAATGCACATGAATCACAGGGAAGGGCATTTTCTTCCCAGAAAAGAAAAGACGTTCAGATGCAGAGATAGACAATGCTAGATAGACAGAAAGAATATAAAGCACCAAAGCTTTAAAAATCAGGCAGGGGAGTTTCAAGTTAAATGATCTAATGAGGCACAGAGGCTCCTGATTTCCTTACTCTGCAAATTCAGAGCAAGAACTTCGGTCGGGTTGACATGCTTAAGAACAGGGACAAAAATGAAAAGGCAGGCTGATCTCAACTTGACAGAGAGCAATTATTGAGCAGAGTGAAATGGAAAGAGTGACCATTCAATTTGGTAAACTAGGATTTGTGGGGTTTTAAAAAAACTTTTTCTTTTTTATCCCTGAAAATCAATAGATAGACACGGCTTTAACTTTGTATTAAGACATAGACATTGATCTGCTTTTATTTCTCCTTGAACTATTTTTTTTCCTACTTTTAAAATTCAGTCATTTTTAACAATTTAAAAAAATTTTATTATTTTGTGTGTGTGTGTGTGTGTGTGTGTGTGTGTGTGTGTGTGTGTGTGTGTAGGAGGAGATTGTCCCGCCTTCTCCAGCAGAGCATCTGGTGGATTTGAAAATTCAGGCATTTTTAAAATACCTATTATATGCCTGGAGAAACAGCCATGTTGTTCCTGGTTGGCTGGCTCCTCCCAGTGTCTGGGGAAGCTCTCCTTGCCAGAAGGAAGGAGCATGGTGGTGTGAGCGCAGGAATCGTGGTAAGCTTTTGGAGTCGACTGCTTTTCCGGGAATGTGTTTGACGTGCAGGTGGTATAGCACTGGTCTGTGAGTTGCTGTTCAGAGGTAACTCGTGGTTGCTGTGATGTTGAAGACTGTGACAGTGATGTGCCAATTGTGGTAATGGGTACCCATGGTGGACAGT